TGAAATGTCTTGGTTATTTTGTCAAACATGTTATTTCAACAGTGGAATACCCATACAGCTAATATTCCTTCAAATTTTGAATAGATTTATAGATTGTTCTCCAATTTTTATCTCAATTGTATGTATGTATATGTATATGTGTGTGTGTGTGTGTGTGTATATATATATATATATATAATTTTGAAGTAAAAAGATAAATATTATCCTTTTTTGTTTTTGAGATTTAATAATTAATAAATAACGATTTATTTAAAAGAATGACAAGTTGCTGCGTCACGTGGATACGATGGAACACACTAGCGTGTTATTTCTCGGCAACAGATTCGCGGAAAATATTTTATCTTTTCAACCTGATCAAGCACATATTAATATTCGGACATTTCTTTAAAAACTATATGAAATAAAAGTAAAAGAATGCATAGAATATGAACAATATAATCTAAAAGATAATGTAATGATAACGAAAGTTATTCATAAATGGTTTATTTGAATTATTAAAAAATATATAATTCTACAGTAGCCTATTCCTCGGTATTATTTAACAGAGTAAACGCGGCATCTGAACAAAAATATATACGTATTTACGTGTGTATGCCTACTTTTAAAAGTAAAAGAAAGGTTGCTCAAACAGTGTCGACAGCAGATGGCAGTGTCCTCCACTACAAATCACGCACTCATATACTCTGATTCATCCAAATAGATCCTTTAAATTTGAATAAAAGTTCCTCATAGTCAAAATCGTTTTTGATTCCAATAAATGTTGTTTTCAAATCCAATAATTTGCTCTTCTTCCAAAAACTGCACTTTCTGAGACTCACAAAGCTCCAGTTCCAAGCTGTATCCTTGACACTGAGCATACACCACAACATTAGCTTTATATGGCCATCTAATCAGTGATATCCATCACAGGAGTTGTCTACTGTTTTGTATAAGGAAGACAGCCAGGCTCACAGCAGGGAAGAACTCAATAACAAACCTTGGGTGCTGAGACACTTAGTTTATATATCCTGTGGCCAGTGTGTTGACACTAAATCACTTTGGTCATGATAATGACAGCCTCTATCTGCCAAAGAGATTGGTTAACACTAACAAATAATAATTGGTGTTTCTCAAACAGGGTCTTTAAAGGGTGTCCTACTCTACAACTACGAAAAGTAACCATGGCTTTATTACAGTAAACGTGTAACCATGGTTTTTTGGCTTATTGATTACCATTTGTATAACAACAGTTTTACTACAAATAGCACCCAGATAGCACACGCACGTCTGAAAGATGTCTGTTAAAGATTGCTTAATCTGGAAAGCATCTGCTGTGTACCAACATCTGATAGATGTCTTTAAGATGTCAGTTTTACATTCATTCTAAATCATATACATCTTAAAGACATTTTCTAAATGTCTATTTGACATCTGATAGGAAACATAGACATATTGCAGATGAGCAAACACTCTAAAAAATATATCTTGCAGATGTAAATGCAGACATCAAATAGACGTCTCCAAGCGTGTGCAATCAGGGCATGGTTAAACTATGGTTAGTGTAGCAAAACTGTGGTTTAACTATAGTGACCACTGTTTTGTTTTTGTTTTTTATTTGTAGTAAAACCATGGTTAATTTTGGTAAGGGTATATTCCTGGCACCTAATTTGAATCTTAACCAGAAGGACAGCTTTCAGCCCTTAGTGTGACAAATGTCAGAGCTGAAGTCTCATGACGGCACCTGTGTGCCTCTTATAGCTCTGAAGGTCCAGTTTATCCATTAGTTGGCTTGTCTTCTGAGAATGAGGGGAGGAGGGGGGCAGAAATAGTCATTTGGTGTATCAAAACATGTGGGGCATGGGATATAAGCAAGGGCAGATTTGAAATAACAACCAGCTTTTCCTCTGGCAAAAAAAAAAACACTGTGCATTACTCAGAAATACAGAACATCATGTTTTGGTGCTGCGAGTATTTTCCCACTGTGTTTTGTAACACACAAGGCACTTTACAGGTACAGAGGAACTTACAAAATGAAATGCTTACATTTCAGTTTGAGGAACCTCAAATGGAACACTGAAGTCTTTTAATTAATACTTTAACTGTAGAAAGACAAACACAATCTATGTATTACCTCATCTGACATTTTTATAAACCAAGTGACCCGATGGACTTTTCCTACAGAAAATGAACCACAGTAAAGCAAGTAAAAAATAAAAAAAGAGAGAGATTTAAAGTATTTCCTTGTCTGAATTTTAATAGGATTATATATGTTTCTCAACAAAAAAAATCTTTAGGGAACAACTAAGTATCCGAACCTGTGTTTAAGAGAGGGCAGAATGTCAAATGGACAAAACAAGGAGTTATAGGTTTATGATAGCTTGGAATTTCTGGAATGCCCTCACTTGACAGATATATTACTGATTGATTTTTAATATAGGCCTTTAAAAATCACACAAATGACATAATGTTACTGGCCAGTAGCTGAGCTCAAGACCTTGGAATGCCTTTCTTAACCAATGTAAGGTTTCTACAGGGTAAGATTATTACAAATCAAGAGGAGCTCCTGTATGAATTATATAATAAATCAGGTTTCATCTAATTTTTGAGTATTATATTCAAGTAATAGATGTAGTTTGCTTCATTACATTTGTACAAGTTTTAAATGGCGGATAGTCTGGATTGTGGGAAATCTTATTTACGTTTTACTCCTGTGTCAGAGGAAAAGGTTTTTGAGGAGTCTTTTTTTTAAACAGAGGAAACCATTTAACAGATTTAAAACTTATAATTTCTGGTTTTACTAAGGATGTTAACAACACCGTCTGAACCCTAGATCCTTCCAGGAAGAGGCCTCTCTTGAATGTTTGGTTCTCACTCTCAAATTCAACCACAAAACTCTGTCACCCCACTATTTACATTACCCTGCTTGAGCTGGCAGTACAAAATGTAGTGTTGTAGCACTCGAGACCGGTCTTGGTCTCATGTTATGATGTAAAACTTCCTGCTTAAAATGCAATCAATAACTTTCTAATTTTATTTCTTTTGATCCTGCTGTGCTTGGTCAGAATTTAATGTGGAATTGTGTCAAAATTTTCACCAACGTTAATACAAATGCCCAAAAATTTGAAGATATGATTGCAAGAAAGTAATTGTATGAGATCTTGTTTTTATACTAATTAAGCAATATCACAAGAGCAAGAGTGCAAAGATTTTTTTGTTTGTTTTTTTGTTAGTGATTTCATTTGATTGGTAACAGCTCTAAATAGTGTCTTATTATTCTAACTGTATTTATTGATCAAATATTAGATATTTTTTAGGCAACAAATGTGGATCTTTTAGAATTTCAGGAATGTGTGTATGGTCTTGGTCTTGACTCGGTCTCGCCCTGCCTTGGTCTTGATCTTGTCTTGGTCTCAACCCCTAAAAGTCTTTGTCTTGTCTTGGTCTCAACACACTCTGGCCTTGGTCTCGACTTGGTCTTGGTTTAGGTGGTCTTGAACACTATCAATATGTCAATAAAAAAGGGTTTAAGGTCTTACAGACATGAAAAATATCTAAAGATGTGATAGACAAGGACACAGTTGTCTGTTGTTGTTGTTTTTTTCAGAGATAAAAGGAATATTTATCTTAAGCAGTTGTAATGGAGGTATTTCGCAATTTACACTTGATTAAATTTGGTGTAATTTGATAGTCCTTTCTTTTAAACTGTTAAAGAGGGCAATAAAAACTCAATGGCATTAGAGTCCTGACGCTGAGGATCAGACATCTTGAACATCATAACATGTTTAAGAGAAAAACATGAGGTCTCGTTCTTGGTAGGGGTGTAATTTAATGAATTTGAATTACATATGAACTCTTTGGTAAGGTCATACAAGAGGGCAATAAACCCCTGTTCTGAGACAATCATTGAGTTTATTTATTCTTAGCAAATCATAGATACTGTGAGTCAACTCAAGATACATTAACTAATTTAGTTTCAGTTATATAACCTCATTTAATTTACAACAACTGCTCAATGTTTTCTGCGGATGCCTGAATTAGTACAAGGACAAAGTCACTTTCTTTAATCGTGAAAGTGGCTCTTTATATTTTATCTTTATCCAAGTATTACATTACAAACATAACCACATAGTGAAAACTAATATCAATGTACTTACCCCTTTGTTATATAATTACACATGTAAGTGTCTGAAGTGATTCCATAGCAAACTCTTGTAAATATCATGTGGAAATAATTTGTTCATCCTTAACTGTGGAGTGAGACAAAAGTGTTTTAAATCATGATAGACAGTTTATTTGTTTGTTTGTTTGTTTTATCATTTCCATTACATCGTCATTTCCATCACAACTCAGTTTTACTCACATCTGATTTTAATATTAAACAGTTTAATCTGTTAATCAAGTAATCTGTTTATTAGCATTCTGTGAAAGTGATTTTTGAAATAAAAGGCTCATTTTTGTTGCTATAGTATCCTAAATATTTAATCATATTTTCACACCTTTTCATATTCTTTCATATTTTCACATTCATTCACATTCATCACATCATACCATATAGCAAAACTGTTGGAATTTTGAAAAAAGGATTTTCATATTGTACAGATGAAAGGTATCTGAAAAAGTAGCATGAGTGATAAATTGATGACATTTTCAAGACAGTTGAAAAGCTTCTATTGATGAAAGTTTCCAGTTTAAATGTGACCATCATACAAAAATAAGTTAAAAATCAACCTCTGTTTAAGCTCAAAGTCAAACAATATGTTTAAAAAAAATGAAAAACAAAAAACTGAATCTCACCAGGAAGCTACAGGACATGTGCTCCACTGAACGAGATAAATTTCCACCTTTGGAAAACAAAAAAAAGAAAGAAAGAAAGAAAAGTATTTGTGCTACATTCATTTACTACAGACAGACATCTCTTGCGCTCTAAACTAACTGCAAGTCAGAGAGATAACAATGCAAACTGTTTTAATTTAAAGATCATTCAATAAAACTTCCTTCAGAAAAGAAGGAAGACCGTTTTCATCCATTGGGGCGGGAGCTTGTGACTCACACAACTTCCTCTATAGTATAGCGCATGGAAGAGTTGAGCGCGAGCATTCTCTCATTCGGTGCTTGGAGAGAGAGCTGAACACTTCTGCAGAATCTGCACACCCGTGAGGAGCAACAGGACTACAGAGCTGTTAAACAGGCCAAACTAAACTGATACGGTACTGAAAGAGTTTTGACGGGGTAAGCGCGCTTCGTCTTTTCTTTTCCCCCCGTCATTTAAATTTAGAAACTCACGTAACAGAGAGCTAATGATTATCAACCTGTTTTTTCATTCATAGCCAGAGAGTAAAAATCGATAACTTGTTAGCCTGTGAAAGTTTTCATTCATCCAGGATATGGTAGCATGTCTTAAAGCAAAGTATTAGAAATTACATCAGTACTTGTAAAATCTTATTTTTGACCAACTATTAACTCTTACATGGCGTCCATGGATAAGTTAAAAAAAAGTTTTTAAACTAGGCTATATTTAAAGTTTTCAATTGAACTTTAGGTGCATGTAAGAAAAAAGCCTAGCATCACCTGTTGAACGCTTACTGGACTTTAGTGTAAAATATAATTAATTCTAGGCCATTCATTCCTGAGTGAGAGAAAGGCAAATTTATTATATGCAGGCCCTTTAAAGGTCATCTTTAACTCTCCCTAAAGTCAGAGTTTCATGACATACATTTGGTGAACGTTTTGTACTTCACACACTTGTAATTCTCAGAGGAATCTGGCACACGTGTCTCGACATGACAGTTATTTGTATGTTTTTTGACAGCCAGACCTCAAGTCTTCATTGGCATTAAATGCACACATGCAGATAACCATTAGAAAAACAGAATGAAGGCATACAAGCCGTGGGGATCTGACATATTCCTGAGTTTAGTCAAAAGCTGTTCCAGGTTGGAACTTGATTGCTCATCTTTGAACACACCTCATCCCAGAACATGATGCGTTCCAAGGCGTAGTGAATGCTTTGAGTAACTGCTCGTAAGGTTCCTATTGCAAATTTACAGCCTGTACTGTGAGGTAATAATATAGAAGCCCATTGAGAATGATGGTTTTAATTTTTTTTTTTTGATTTATTTCATAAGTACTGCGTGCTTATAGAAAGTAACCTTGAGTTAAACATAAAACAGGAAATGGTTTATGCATATCAGTGAGTGATGTGATTCATAAAGACACACCTTAAGTGATTGAAAACAGGTGAGTGGAAATAGTTTATTTATCAGTGGGTAGGTCCTCTTGATATATCCGATCCGCTGATGATGACTAAACTCCTTTGGCAGAGATTTTTCATTTAAGCAATATTTTCTGCCCTAGGAAGTCTTAAGACAGACAACAGGGCAAAAACTGCAGTGAGTAGGTCGGAAAAGTTGACAGGAAGAACGGAACTGCGTCCTCTACACATTTCCTCTTTCTTTTCTATTTTCAAGCCCAGCTGCTGAGACTGGTCTCTGTTCTCTGGCATCCTGTAGACATCGCAGACAGGCAGCCCGTCAATTGTCTCGTGCTCAGTGACTCATTGAGTTTTTAACTCTTTAAGTGTTTTTTAAAGAGTTGTACTGTGTCTTTTAAGTGTAGTATGGCATGTGCTGGCATGCATATGTCTGTGTGTGTGGGATAAAAAAAGCAGAGAGATCTTTGAGGTGCATCACTGTGTCTTTTGGTGCATTAAGAAGCCTTTGAAACTGCTTACCCCTCTGCCATTCCATTCCCATTCATTATTCCAAGAGGGGGAGTTCAGAGGTGCTTGTGGAGAAACAAAATAATCCCTTTGAAACTTAAGTCCCATCCCTCTCATAAATGTGCCACAAACTTTATGAGGCCTTAGTGTGTTTCTCAGTATCACTGATTTAACTGCCTGCTCCATAGCAACTGATTTCCACGTGCAATATGAAACTCGATCCTTTATCCAAACACTTGTTTACATGCCAGTCTTTTATACTCTAATTATAATTACAAAATAAATAGCACTATCAATTTAACGTGTTAATGTTCTGTGATTCATTATATATTGTATTTATTACAGTATACTGGCTTCTAAGCCACTTATAGAAGTGTTTAGTGCTTTATCTGCCACAACATAGTGACTTAATTTGGGGGCTTTTCTCAGCAAATACTGAGATATACAATTAATTCAAACAATTCAATGCATTTTATGCTATTAATTCAATTAGAAATTATACATAATTAAAATGTGTACTTTTTAAATTTATACATTAATATTCAAAAGTTTGAAATTATAAGATTTTATTGTATTTTTTAAAGAAATTATTATTTTATTCAACAGGAACGCATAAATTGATCAAAAGATTCAGCACCAAATCTGCTGAAATTTTAGCTTTGACATCACAGGAATTAATTACATGTAAAAAAATATTAAAGGGGTCATATGATGCGATTTCAAGTTTTCCTTTCTCTTTGGAGTGTTACAAGCTGATTGTGCATAGATAAGATCCCTGAAGTTGCAAAGACTAAAGTCTCAAAACCAAAGAGATATTCTTTATCAAAGTTAAGACTCTGCCACGCCCCCCTAAAACGGCTCATTCTAACACGCCCCCACATATCTACCCCACTATGTGGATCTTTAAAAAAGCATCATATGACCCCTTTAAAATATAAAACGGTTTTGTTAAATTGCATAATACACCATATTAATGTTTTTATAGGAGCCAGAGTTGGTTTTTACCGTATTTTTGATCAAATAAATGCAGGCTTGTGAGAATTAGAGACTTCTTTAAAAAGAATTTTTTTTTAACTTAACTATATTATTTACATATTTGAACTATTATTTTAATTTAAATCACCAGCCATACAAGTAAAAAAGATATAGAAAGGGTTTTTATTCCAACTTTCCTGTCTCCACCATATTCTATACATATTGTAAAAAGTGCTTCATCAGAAGTGGCTTGTGAATAACTCATCATGGTGTCCATCAAAGAAATCCAAGTTCTTAAATTGGACTGTATTTCATTTTTTATGAACCACAACAGGGCTTCCTCTTAAGTGTCCTGCTGTGCCAACAAAATTCAGTTTGTTATTTTTATAATGAGTCTTTTTTCTTGTGGTTCAAAATCCCTGCACTCTTTGGTAGTAAGGTCCATAAAGTCCTCAAAAAAAAAAAGTCCATAAAGTGTGTTGTTGTCATCTTTGGAGTATATTTTTTTGGTGTCTGGAATGTTCAGACCTTTCAGAAACTAAAGGAGGTTGAAAATGCATTTTTCCCCCTATTGGGTCAGGGCGATGTGACAGCAGTGTGATCATGGCCACATTCTTTGGAAGCACTGTGCTTTGTTTGAGAGCTTTATCTTATGCAGAAACTGCTGTTCATCAGTGATAGGACAGAGTACAGTATTTCATAAAGTGAGCACTGTTGAATATTCTCACTTGGCAATTGATTTCTATGCATACAAAAAAATTGCATACTGTTTTCACTATACATACTATAGTGTATGTAGAGTAGTGTGGTATTGACTACCACTTGTTTGGTCACAACAAACACTGAATGTAGTTGTCCATTCATAAGTCACAGCACAGCACACAAAAAGAGTGTACAAGTGTGTCCATTAAGCCATAATTTATCAGACCATCTATATGCAAATCAATTGGACTGAACATCTGTCCATCAATAATGCAGCTCTGTAGCCAAATGTGTAAGATAACGCAAAGCCAGAGACAACGAACCCTTTAATTAATCTCTAAAGAGAGTGCCAGATGAAGCAATGTGATTTCAAATGTCTTGAACGAATATCACATGCAAGTACACTGTTTACGGTCTTCTTTAAATCATGATGAGTTGCTGTGTCAACTCTGGGACAGTCCCATACATATCACAAGCTCGTGTGAAAATCTTGAAAATCAATTATTATCTCAGGATTCAGACTTTTTGTGGTCTACTGCCACATTTCTTTTAAAATTGCTCATGGAAACATATAACTGGTTGTTTGGAGGATTAACTTTGAATTAAGGGAAGTTACTGGGGGTTTCCTGCGGGGGACTCCAGGTCCATCTCTAATCCAGTGAGATGGTGGCTTCCTCCCAGACTGAGGAGAATGAATGGATGAAATCAGATCTTTGCAGCCTGTGCCCCAAGAGACGCGACCCTCTGCTCGGTGTGCTATCTGATCACTTGTACTGTTTGTTTACCTTTCCCCTCTCTTCCTCTCGCAGGCCTTATTGTCCTTCATATACGGTTAGTGTCTTGCTCTGAGCCACTTGTTGTTAAACCCCTTTGTCTGTCTTTCTTCCGGTCATTTCTCTACAACACTTATTGTGTGCTCCAATATGCTGCTCTGTGTCACCATGACCAAGGTGTCAAGATTCAGCTGGTTAAACACCTTCTGGTAGACTATACTGTCTGGCTTTAAAAAATGTCTTTCTCCATTTTGTAAAAAAAAGTTTACCTTTAACAGAACTCATTTCAATAACGGTTCTCAGGCTTGCATTATTTCAACAATGTGAACGGAATATGGTACTAAAACACTGTGACAATGTTTTCTGCACTACTATTCAGTGGTGCTGCAATACTATAGCGCAATCAGTGTTTTTCAATAAATGACTTATGAGCCGCTTTGTTTATATGAATCAAAACAAGACAGTGTGACTGTGACTAGTGTAGTCTGACTTCCAAACAAATGACTCTTATTAGCAGCTTCGTTTTAAGGAATCAAAACCATAGACAGTAAAACTAATGTAGTCTGATTCCTAAACAAATGAGCTACTTTGTTTTAGTGAATTAAAACCATAGACTGCAACTAATGTAGTCCGAATCCCAAACAAATGACTCTCATGAGCCACTTTGTTTTAGCGAATCGAAACCATATATGGGCAACTAGTGCCGTCCGATTCTCGAATAATTGACTCTAATGTGTTGGTTCTTTTTAGAAAATTAAACGAATACAGTTTTCTTACTGTGTTTTGTAATACTTAAGGATTGGGAGACTTAAATCACTGCAGTTACTAACAATGTCAGTAATATTTTATAAAATTGAATGAATGAATGAATAAATTAATGATATATGTTGCAACATTTTTATTTTAGGATTTATATTTAATATAGTTATATATCCAATTGTTGGAATCCATTTATGTTGCCTTTTAAAAGACTACAAAAAGTCAATTAAAGGATCAGTTCACTTCCAGAATAAAAATATCCTGATAATTTACCCCCATGTCATCCAAGATGTTCATGTTTT